AGAATTTGTGATGATCTAAATTACAGAAGATTAAAGTGTATATATAGGCATTGCTCAAATCTTGTTCCTTGTAGAGAATGGAGAACCATTAACCGATTTCTTCTTTAATGCCTTTTCTTGATCATATAACTTTTCCTTATTCAATTGGATTTGTATAATTTTCATTAACCCAATTGTCTTCTGATTTTCCAGGCCCAAACCTGAAGCCCAACTTTGGCTCAAGAGTCAGAAGAAATCACAAAAATAATAATTTATTATAATATACGGGAGAAATTAAAAAAAAATTCAAATGGTATATCTCCCGTATAAATAAAAATATATTTAATCTTATAAAATTTAATTTGCATGACACTTAGATTGAATATATGCATTTTTAATATAAATTGTATATATTTGAGATTATAGGTTCTCTCAAACTTATTTGAACTCACCAAATCCAAAAAATATCGCGTAAGTATGTAAATCTTTTTTCACACAAAATCAAAGAAATAATAAAAAGTGAAAATGATGATTTTCAAAATTCAACTATTGATGTTTGATTTGTAAAGTTGTACGTTTATAACAAAATAACAATTTTAGTTAGAATAATATTAATACAATTAAACGATATAAAAAAATTGTATGACCAATCACATATGGTATTAAAATGAATATAAATACATTATTCATAAATTAATTAACATTGTTAAATGATTTATCGTTAAGAAAATATGTTATATAACGTTTAAATATTTTACTTCGATTTAAATTAGTAACATAAATGTATTTGTGAGTTCATGTTAATAAATTAATGTAAATATGTAGAGATTTCTAACATAACATATAAATTAATGGGTTGTTAATAAAAAATCCCCTAAACTATTGTAGGATCTTGAAAAATCCCTTCAACTATTTTTTAGTAAAAAAACCCCTCCACTATACTTCGTCAGTGAAATCAACTCTCCGTCTACAATAACGTTTAATCCCAATAAAAATTGTTGTCTTTTGTTACAAGAACGACAAAACGTCTTAAATATTGACCAAAACATCAAGTTGTTTACAAGAAAAAACAAC